TACGTAGAAATAGAGGAAGTTGCGAACTTCATGCGTTACGTAGCTGAAATAAGAGGAAGATTGTGTCGGTTACTTTTGCTTTCGTAGGCACAGTATATGCTTGCATCGCAAGGAAAAGAGACCTCGGAAAATGGGACGTCAACTCAAAATCCATTAGGTTCAATAGTGGATAACCTTTGACCTCTTTACGGAATCGCATTAACTCGTTCAAGTGAAGCACGACAGCCTAGAAAATAAGGGAATTAAGTCCTCACCTGCCAAAATTGCGACCAACAACACAGTGCCACGTTGGACCATAGCGTCGGTCGAACTCCTTTTTTATATGCGAGGCAATGTCCTTCTCGATGGTGTACTTTTCTAGCGCAGCACCGGCCAACTCAATGGCCAAGCTTTGCATCGATTCGTCCATATCGCTATTCCGCACCACAGCCCTCTCGCCAGTCACGTTTCGCGACATCCTGTCCATCAATCCTCCCTCCTCTCCGTCAAACGCATTACTTTATATATGCACCTGCGTGTGCAACAGTAGCCTGGCCTCATTCCTTCTTACACATTGATATCCATTTGCAAATGAGCTGCGGAGTAGATTATCATATTCGCCATTAAGTCGTGATGTGGCAGCATTTTCCTGTAGTCAGCATAACTCCAAAGCCTCAGCAAATTTGTTCGTTTGCCTATAAAAAGTTCTAAAGGGGCATTGGTCACATGTTAAAGTACCAACAATCGCATTACTTAGAGGGACCTAGGTCTCCATTTTTTCCTAGTCCAAAAGTTGATGTGTCGATGGAATTTGAAATGACGCACTTTCGAATGGGCGAAAGTGACCCCTCAAAACAGTGATTTTGAGTAGTATCATAAGGACTGCAAAATCGCCAATTTTTAAACTCAACAGCTCCAACTTTCTCTCAATCAAGAGGTCCTAGTGTGCCTATTCTTCTCTCGAGGCTGAAAACATTGCATAGGGACACCAAAATCATTTAGCCATGGGCCTTAGAGAGAGCCCATAGGATCTGCTCGCTTTAAAGAGAATGTTTTGACAGAATACTGTTCAAAAGAAGTCTAAACAAGATTAGATCATGAAATTGGTGTTAAATTCCATAAAACATACCGCAACCCCACCATAGGAACTCGTTTTAGCTACCTCGTTGATACTTCTTACCGTTGATGCACTCAACTTTTCACCTACCGAACACGAGCGACCCGTTTCACCGGTCGCAAGTTATGAGTTATTGAGCCGCCATTGTGGAACTTATTTGGCAACTACAGTCCATCACTAAAACGTTGATCCTTTATCAAATTCAAGCTTAGGGCTGTGCACCGTTAAAGCTATGAACTACTTATTGTTTCATTGTGTGGAGTTCTGGCGTTTGTACGCTGCTGACATTTTGCTAAATTGCTATGAAGTACAGACTACGCAAGCTTGCATTATCTCAAGTTGCATCTTGCCCTACCATTACTGACCCGTACCAATTACCGCTCTCTTTAAAGAGGACCTCAGCGGATTTTAAATCTACTCACTTACCTAAAGCTTAGTAGTACAAAGGCTTTTTTGAATCAAATGAAAACAAAATAAAAAAAAACACAATGCAAGCTGTGTCTGATGGTGGTTCCGTGAGCCTTAGAACGTTATTCAAAGCCCATTTTACATTTTAGAGGCAGTAGAGTGAAGATCAACTTTATTCAATCTTTGAGACTGCTCTGAGGCGTTTTGGAATATTGGATCAGCAGCCAAGTTCTTAGACCTATCCTAACTTTAGTGAATGTGGTACTAAAGACTGAATGATTCTATTAAATGTTTGTAGGATGACCACCTAAATGCCAGCGTAGGCACAGATAAGGACAGTTACCACAACTTCGATGTCTGCAAACTGTGGGCGACATTGTTGCCCTAAAATGCCTCGCCGCTGCAAATATTCGGTGGTTCACATGCAACGCTTGCAGGACTGGCGTCACGTGCAGTGTACAGGGAATCTTAAAGAAAAGTGGCAGTTTTAGCGAAACCTTGGCATTCAGCGCTCTCATGCGCGTTCTACTATCCGTCGTTGCCAGCTCTATTTCTCTTCCCTCAGAGAGACTCGCCAATATCAAATACGTCCGCCGGTAAGCAAAATCATTAATCTCTTCATATTTTTATCTGCTCACACTAATTTAAAATATGTCGCACCAGCATTTACTGACATCTGTTTATGCGGGTCAGATGGTCAAGAGAAATTTTAACGCTTCCATGGTCGTTTCAAGGATGTACAAAAGATATAATGTATAGTAATGATAGAAGGAGCAGCTGGTGGAAACGATTTGCTCCAAATTGTATTTATTTAATCAACTCCGAATAATGCCGACGGTACAGATTTTAGTCTATACTCTCTTTATGGTGTTGATGTATGAAAACCAAAGTAACAGTAAAACATGTTCATTTGAAGTTTTATTAGGCAACTCGTACGACACTGCGAGTAATGCCTTGTGACTGACAGTCACTGTGGTATTCATCCTGCTCTGGGCCGCGTGGGCCAGCCTTGGAACAAAGTCAAAGCTCGAAGTCTGCATTGTCTCCGCGAGCACAGGTATTCAACCTTACTTAATACCTTTTACTACCCAATGGAAATTCGCAAGACTGTGCACTGATTGCAGCGGAAATAAAATCTGATTTCGATACGACTTCAATTTGCGTTTTCCTCAGTTGTAATAAACTTCTGCGGAACGTTTGAAGAGCATGTACTTGTCTGGAGAATATCTCACCTCTCCAGAACAGAAGGACTGAGAACAGGATCGGCATTTAGTCTCCACCTCATGATTGCGCACCACAAACAAGCTATTAACAAATTAAGCGATATCGTTATAAATCATCTGTAAAAGTTCCGTTTGGGATATTGTTGTAATGCCTGAAACTTCCCACTAGGTAGAGGAAAACAA